AAAAAAAAAAAAAATTACAATGTAAAAAAAAACAAAATAACAGTGATACATAAACAATATTTTAAAGTTGCCCAAACAAAAATAATACTGCACAAGTACAACAAAATAAAGATATTTTATAATAGTTCAAACAATCTAAAAAAACATTTACCGCATGATATATGTCCTTTAGCTTTTGTAAGAAGTTTTCATCAGAAATCTAAAAATGATTTGCGTTATTATCATTATGTTTGATGTATTTGATAGATAAAAAAACTTAATAGTACATATTAAAGATATTTCTGTACTATATCAAAAAAGCAAGTACAACTATGATACTTATTAAAAATCTCTAACACGTACGCATAGTAAAACATTATATGTATAAAAATCACAATGTATGATTTACATATATGTACATAGAGTTAGATATGTATATAGAGGTAAAAAAAAGAAAAAATATATATATATGTAGATAAAGCACATGACTAACAATAAGTACCTCATACGTACCATAAACAGGTCTTCATCTGAATATATGTTGTTAATAATACAATTCATTATTGCGCCAATGTTAATGTCGCTATCACACATAACAGAGTTACAATTAGTATGTAAAATTTTTTAGTTTATATAATAAGTATATATTATAATACAACATCGTATATGCAGCAACTATATCTCATATGCAGTCTATATAGAACGTACATACATTGTGTATAAATAGGCAAAAATCTATACATAAGAAAAAGTGGTTTACCTTTCTATGTACTGTATTCCTTCTAGTATAGACGTCAGCGATGCAACAGTTTTTGAATGCTTTGCAAAAATATTAAAAAGAAAAGAAACTTTATCACTTTTTTTTAAATCTACATTACATTCATAAGATGGCAGAAAATTAGTTAAAAAGGAATAAAAAGATAAGAAAATATTTCTGCGATGTCTAGAACAAGGTAAAAACTTAAACATTTCTTCATCTTTTGACTGTGTTTTGTACATGGTTTTTAATGTATACCATGTAAAAGAGTTTTCATACGGAGAATTTTCTACCATTAAACTCTGGCAAAATATCCATTTCTCCCAACTTGGCAAAAGTCTGCAAAAAAACAATATATATACCTTTACTCAAAGAAGAGAGAGAAAAGGAAATATAAAAATCACTAGTCGCGATAATGCTTTTTTTGTAACAACAACAAGGGCAACAACAACAACAAAAATACTAATAGTAACAATAATAAGAACAATGAAAAAGTTATGTGATAATCGTATATAAACGTAAAACAACATAACTACAATCAGATAACGTCTTTAACACTATTATTTTGCTGTTAAGTCAATAACGTACCTGTTTCGAGCAGGATTGTGTATATGCCACGTTACTTCAGCCATAACAATATCTTTGCACTTTATGCTATCAAGAGTACATGCCCATTTTAAAACTTCGTAATATAACTGATTATTGACATTATTTTCGGAAGAAGGTGTATGCGACGAATCTTCAAGAAATTTATTCAATACATCCAAAATTTTATCCTAATAAATCAAGGTATATGAGTTTGTTTTATAATGTAACTCTTACACTCAAGTTTATTTAATAAATGTTTATAATATAGTTACGTAATAATAAAGTTTTAAATTAGTTATTATTTATATTTACTACATATCATATTTTAATGTTTTTATCAAACGCTTATGTACATGTAAATGTTTCTTCTTCTTTATCTGAAACTTATACATGTTTGAAAACGTCAGATATCTAATAAGTAATATGTACTATTTGTTTAATGAATCACATGTTTTTTTACAACATATTTTTGAACATATTTTTATGTCTAAAACAACTTGTTTATTTATAAGTTATTATACAAAATTTTTTGTGTATTGATTGCAAAAGTAAAAACTAATGTAATAAAGTTTCGTAGATTATATTATAAGTATACTGTAAAAAACTCAGTTATCATTTAAGTATATCTTGTTTTAGCATCTAAATTATTTATTAATTTAGTAGTAGTTACCTTGATGTATGCGCTTTCTGGAAACGGAAAAATCTTTGATAAGTACTCAAGAGCAGTAAATATAGGATACCAAGCTATGTAGGAATTGTTCACGTGAAATACACTGTTTGCAATATCAAAATATATGTCTAGATTTTCATAAGTATTTGAAACAGAATTTTCATTATAATCTGTATTTTGTACTAAAAAATAAAAAGCATCGTCGAGAATTTGAGCTAATGAGACGTCAGATAAAAACATGTTAGACGTTGTACGTTTCAAGAAGAGAGCAATGTTCTTCCAAGATTTACGATCGTAGGTGACGCGATATCCTACAACAATTAAGTATTAATAAGAGTGACGAAAGAAAACAGGGAGAATACTAGAAAGACAAAGAAAGAGAAATAAAACAATAAAACTAGAAACAGTAAATATAGTACAGTGACGGAAATTTAAAAGATACTATGTAAGAGTAAAACACAAAACTAAATAATCCATGTGTGTAAAAATATTACCAGGTACATCTATAAAAATGATAGAATCATCTTCTTTAATATTCGGAACTATAATATTGTTTCCGTCTGGTTGTAAGTACGATTGATATTTGATATTAGACTGTGATATTCTTATATAGGTCACAGGTATCCACCACGTGCTTACACAAGATTGCTCTATATTACTTAGAAAACAGTCTCTAATCAGTATTTCAAGAGTCCGTGTATTGTTGTGTCGGATTACTTGCACTAAAGGATAACCAACGTGTGTCCAAGAAGTTATCACAGGTGTTAAAAGTTTTAACAATATTATAGTTTTGGACGTAGGCATCTTAGATAGTAATTTGCTCCATAAAGTATCGACATTTGACTGTATGATGTATGCATCACATGATGTACTATTAACCAGAGAGTATTACAAGAAATATATTAATGTCAGATGAAAAAAGTACAAAAAAAAATAGTAAGTTTGTCTTGTTTTGACAATACCATATAGTGAATTACACAAATAAACTTTTTGCACAAAATATTTTAATACTCTATATACTCACGTGTTATGATAAAAGTTTATGGCTTCTTCAAACAAGGAGTTGTATAAGACATGATTGTCAGTGATCATGTAAAATATACTGATTGCTGCAATAAAAGTCCGATCGTATTTATTGTATAAGTTATGAAGTTGTAAGTAAACACACACAAAACTATAAGTACTTATAAATCTATATAAAATAAAGCTAATTTACAAACTTCACTTAAGAAACTAGGACCAAAGTGATGTAGTATGAATTTCTATTGAGATAATTATATATATTTATGACTATAAATGTATTTACAGAAAATGAAACTACTTTATACACAATTGACTTAAAAAAAAAATATACTACTATTATTTACATATATTAAATAAAGATGTTTATACTATTTCTGTTGTTTATCTTTTATTTATTTATAATAGTTTTTTTATTAGTACTTTCATTACGGGAAAAACGTTCAACTATTGACCGTAACGTACAAAATCATGTTCAACTTGACCGTTAACGCTCTAAATTAAACATATAACGCTGAATATTGAAAATTTATGGTCAAGTTTAACGTGATTT